CGCCAAAGTGGCAGAAAATAGTAATATTACCGCTAAAAGCTTTACGCGCAAAGGAAGTAACGTTTGTTATATACGCCAAGTTGCTTGACTCGTCAATAAAGAGGCCGTGAATTGAGATGTTAGACGCCGAGTATGAGGCCCAGTTTGCCCAAGCTGTAATATTCTTGGTAATTTCATCCATCGGGATACTCGCGTAGGCAGTTCGGATATAGCCAAGCGTCTTGACGTTTGGGAAGGAGTTAAGCTTTGATACACCGGCAATGTAGTTGACATCGTTATTACCAGGCATATAGGTTGAGCCAGGGCCAGTGGCAACGTTAACCACGGCCAGCCATGGAAGACTTGGGTGAGCCGCGATAGCGTTAAACGCAGGCGACCAGTTGGCCGCGCCGTCGTTCCAGGTAATAGACGGATAGAGGTAGAGCGGCAATATGATGCCAGTTGAGGAGACCAGCGCGGCCAGGCCAGTTGTGAGAGCAATAGCGACGCTGGCAGTGAAACGCATGGTAAATAAATGGCTTTAACGAGAAGCCTGGAGTAGATGAATGGTAACGGGGAACTGGGGTTAACTGGTTGCAAATAACCAAACGCAGGTTTGTGGCTATTAGATTCTCTTATAGAGAGACGGAGTGGGACATGTTAACATGTCTGGTGCTATACAGATAAAAAGCCTGTACTTCGTCCCTGAGGCCATGGCGTCTACAGCTAGTATGCCCCATGCGTTGTTTAAGGAGGCATGTTACACTCTTTTATTCATGGCAACTTTCCACAAACCGGGTAATCAATTGGCTGGCTAAGTTATCATTGCAAGCCTCAACGGGAGTTTGACGCCATTCTATGCATACTCACCAGAAATATCTACGCGCGTGCCTAAAAGAACCCACACCCGCGGACATGCATTTTAATGTTATTGGCCCACAGTGGATTATCTGAGTTGGTGAGGCTCGCCCGTGGTTAGGGTGTGTTTTAAGTTTTGGTGATTGATGGGGCAGCTGGGGTTCCCGTTTAATCCTTGTCGCACAAATCTAGGCTTTCGCAAGCGTGATGCCAGGACAGGGTCAGATAATAGGTTTTCTCGCATATTGACTTCGCATAATATGTGTTGCTCTTAGCTGTACAAGCCAATCCCTTTCCGTTAAAAGCTGAAAGGGTAATATTTATTGTACGTGCCTGAAATCTTAATAATGAGCTATCTTCTCGTTGTTGCCACGTTTTATTAGCTACGTTTTTCTTACAAGTTTGCTATTCTTGCTCTCTTGCCTCCTTTATTGATATACGAATTGCAGACACAACCTAATAGTAAGAATAATACAAATTTATTTTGCAAACCCAAGCGGTCTTACTGTATGCTACCGCGTGACGCGTAAAACTTACGGTAGCGACGAATATCTACCGAATACTATCTACCAAGGTAGGAAAGGCCTTAATCCGTTCTTGTATTGTATCTAGTTGTGGCTTGGAGCGCTCCGTTATAAAATGAAAGGTTAGTATATAAGAATCTAGCAGTTTACTCTTTAAAGAAAGAATAAGAATAGCATTCTATTTAATTATATTTAGATTACAACTGTCTTTGTAACTTTGCGCTATTATATCCCTAACAAGTTATTTGATACCGCTAGGTTTATTTGGATCACAAGAGGGGTTACGTAGAAGTGACAGAATAGACTTGGTCTAATTCTAGGCTGCACCGGAATCAGCTTATCTCCATTTGAGATATGGACATGCAACCCAGGTGTACTGTACTATAGGACCGTTACGCTATTTGCCGCCTCAGCCTTGTGTACCCAGCCTACTACTTTAGTTAGAATCCTCACTATACAGTCTTGCGAAATGTTAGTTATACTACTTAGTTCCCCGAGTTGTCGACTGAGGCAATAAGCCTTGTCACGCTTAGTAATGGGAGTTGATTTCCTTAGCAACCTGCGCATGTGAGCGCCACAACTGACGTCGTAGCGCAGACCTCTACTTTGCTGCTGAGCTCGTATTCTTCTAGGGTCATGACTCGCCGGCTACCGATTAACCCCCCGCAAGGATTACGCACGGACTGCCCTCTTTTAGTCTCCTGCTCCCTGCAATATTGCTTGGACAAGGGTCCCGGGTAATATGCCGTAATTTCAGCTCCTGAGGTTGAACATTTGACACCTCGCAGAGAGACTGGAAGCAGCAATGAGATCCCCGGACGAACCGGTTCTCTAGACTCTTGTAGTTCCTGGGTCAGAAGGGACTTAACGATGGGGCTGTTAGCACCGCTCTACCTGTGGCTACAAGAACGCTCCGAGACCACTAGGTTGTCACAGCACTATCACGACTTGTCTAAGACATTTACATGAGCACAGACTATTAGCGCACTATAAAGCTGTAGTCTAGATAGCTTCCTCTTCCGTCCTCCTTAAGGCACAACTACGTTACCACCAGCACCTTAAATTCGCCCCGTAATAGTTTGTGTCTACTCAAATCAGTGTCTACCGTAACGGGGCCCGTTCCGACTTTTAAGCTAATTACTATTATACACCTACCCCTATTTAAATTACTCTTGTAACAGGCTCTGTTCCTGCCTAATATTCCCTGTACTTTATAAAACGCGTCTTAAATCTCTTAAAATAAGGCTTGTTCCTAGATTATCCTATATAGCTAATTATATTACACTGTTATACCGGGCTTATAGGTCTTATACGCGTCCGAGTATAGTATAGCGCGTCTAAGAATAAGACTAGAAAATACTATTATATATATATATAACTTCTCCTTTTTCTTCCTTTACCCTTTTTAAAAGGTATTAAACGTATTTCTAGTCTCCTACTGTTCTTGGCCTGGTACAGCCCAATACTGTTTTAGATTTTACGCTTGTATAATACTTGTATTATGCGTGTAATTTCATTTGATTACAGAGCGAAACAACCAAAAATTAACTAGGTATTATTTTAATTATTACTTAACTTATTATCTTATAAGAGGCCGCTTCTAGGAAGCTGGGCCGTATATCAGTTATATATAGGCCACTCGTGCTGGTTGCTTGTCAATTTCCTTGACGGCTCTGTAGAAGATGACCCAACCCGACTACCATCCGTGTGAGTCGCACTTTACCCAGTGAACCCGCGGGGGCTCTAGATGACATGCTCCAAGAGAACCTATCGATAGACTGTGGGAATCCTCGCATATCGTCTTTGCTACTTCGGCTTGGCGCCCAAGTTCGCGCGGCAACATTCGCCCAGCTTCTGGATGCGGGCCGCTCACCAGAGTTTCAGCACGACACTGACAGCTCAGCATATTAACAGTGAGGGGACTTCCTCTGACAACATCGGGCTAGAAAGAGATGTATGATGAATAGCAACATAATTTGGGTTTACTGTAACAACCTACGCTTCTTTCATTCTATACATATGGCAGCATATGTTTCTGCATGTAAATCTATTGAAAACAAGGTGTGAGGCAGCGTAGGATCTGGATCGAATATTCCCATCTTGTTCCCGGCGAGCGGCAACTACTTTTTCCAAGAGGACATGAGTCATAGATATCAAAGTCTTTAATGCGCCTCATTCTAACAATATCCTGGAAGCATCCCGTTTCATCTTCTCGATTCTTTTCTCATATCGACTCTAGAAAGAAATGCCAATCCCCACGTCTAGAACAAAGCCGTCTTGCATAGCTTAATGCTTATGCCGCATAATTTCGGTTACGAGGGTGGCAAGACATTAATGCTGAAGCCCAGGGGTGCTGATAATCGTCCCATGACATGAGGTACTGCCTACCATCATGGGTATATATGCAGGCAAAGCACTCATCCACCTTGTGTAAAAACGAGGAGTTGCAGGCGCAAAAGCTTGATCGCCCCCCTGCAGCTGCTGGGCATTCGTTTATGCACCCTGATATGGTCTGATGCTGGTGGAGGAACGTCAGAGGTCAAGCTCGAGTTGCAGCTCCAAGTTACGACGCAACAATTGACGTCAGGAGCATAAAAGGCCACGGAATAAACCGTGATGGCCTAAGAAGTCTCATCTCACGTGACTAGTCGAACAAGAGAGGTATTGGTATATATTTATCGTTATGCCACCACTGTAGCTTTAGATTGACCGTCATGGAGGTTTATTTAGGTATGGGGCAGCGTGGGTAACGCAGCAACGCGACATCATGCATAGTGCGTAACGGCTCTCCCTAGGAATAGGAGGCCTATATAGCTTGACTAGCTGTTGTTAAAGCGCATTAAACTATATAGGGTTGCTTTAAGGCAACTGTGGTCTCAATTGAGTGGAGGTGTGTCGTCTTGGGTTATATACACAATGGTGCGGACACGTGGGAAAACGTAATTGATTGGTCAAAAAGTCTAAAAGAAGCCGGATTAGCCGCCGTCGAAAAGTGTCTTACTCGCGGCGACATTCTGCTAGGTATCCTATCCCGCCGGCCCCAGCCTACTACTTGGCCCATTAAATAACTCGTCGAGACTCGGCCTTGTTTCTAATAACAGGGCATACTGTTACGCTATTTGCTGCTACCTATAGCAAAAGTGGAATGCACACTCCAATAGGAGCGGCGTTCAGTGTTGTCCTGTCTTTGATTGGTACACTGACAAATATAACTGTGGTGGGCCAGGTCGCGAGTAATGCCAGACCAAGTTTCAGCGCGCATAGAGAAAGCGTCAATAATTATGCACATATAGTGTTATGCGTCAGCTAGCATTATCATCAAAGCATCACACCAGCACATAGAGACGTATGGTTCCACGTGCGTGCTACGTCCCTTTCTCGGTACGTGACGCATGGTGCAGCTACATGTTATCCATTCTTTATGCATAATACATGACTAGTAGGGGAGATTGCGGTACGAAGAGATGAAATAGCATAACCGATTATGCTGTGAAATGAGTTGACTGTTCTTGTGTGTTATATAGGTATATAAAGACAATCAGGACTCTCCCTCTATACCGAGCACTTACAAGCAACACTTACAAGCAACCAACATATATTTAGTCTACCAGTTCCATCTACATACTACAGCACTTCACCATGAGCTTCTCCGTCAACCCACGAGTCCTTTCCGTCTTGTGCTTGGCGGTCGCCTCTGTCGCCGGCCAGTGGATCGTAAATGGCAACACGGCAGAGGTCGGGCCCAACCGCGACCCTGTGGACGAATGCTGGATCAAGAACGTCGACAAGGCCCTCTCCCCGTGCACCTGTACTGGCGGCACCATCTTCCCCGGCTGCCATTCGGTCCAGTGGGGCGAGCCTTACGGCACTGTCAGGGATGCAAACTGCACGTGTGACCCCACATCAACGGTATTGTCAATGGAAGATGTACTCGGCGGCGACAGGGGGCCTGAAGAAAGCGTGAAGGCGTCAAATCGCCAGGACCCGAATGGCCGGGACCAGCCCGAGGTGGTGGAGAGGTGCATCTGTGATCCCCCGGCCGGCAAGAGGGACGACAGCACCGATAAGTCGGCTGTGCCAGCTACCAACTGCTGGTGCCCGATGGAGTTTCTTGACGCCAAGGAGTGCCGCGCCGATTTAGACAACAGCCAGCTTCGTCACAGGGAGGTCTGCAAGAAGTTCAAGCAAGATAAACCTGAGAAATTGTCCGATTCTTTGCAGCGCGCACTGCCAAATTGCACCGTCTTTTCCCTCACGAGAGCCTGTAGTTTTGTTATTCGAGACTAATCTACACTTGACGGAAAAGGCCCAACAGATCGGGAAACCCAATAAAGGGGCTTCACCGATGCGGGGCCTATTGGTTACATGGCTTGAATACGTCTGGTGCCCGGGTAAAAAAGGCCCTAGCTCTAAGCGTTTCTTCCATGTATAAATAGCCGTTATTCTTCTCTTCTTTTCTCTTAGTAACTTGAGACCCTTGGGACTCTTGAGATTAGTATTGAATTGAACGCTTTTGCTCTAAGCCTCCCAAGTTGAACCCTTGTCATAACCAACAAGTTACCTTTGTTACATGCATCTTATATAACCGACTAATATATTCATCTCCTCGCTGAAGTGGAAAATTGAAACGCCGACACTCTAGACGCCTCAAACGCTTTGGTCGAGCTGGATACGGAACGCCTGGCCAGCCCTGTCGAGGTATGCATACAACACAAGCTCTGCTCTCTCAAAAGTGAGCTAGAATATCATGACAGTATTATTGCCCAGCCATCGAAAATTGTCCGTTCGCGAGCTAATAATAACTTGCTTTGGAGCAAGTCAAGTCTGTTCGTGGGTAGCACGCAGTTCAAGCTCTCCAGGTGTTTCTGTCGAGATTCTTTGCCAAAAACCGAACCCAAATGACCACATGCTGCATTTTGAACGACTTGTTGCGCGAGAGCACGCCCAACAGTCACTCTTCTTTGAGGATGCCATCTACGGAATGGACGCAGATGCCCGCTATCAAACAACTGCTGCTATCACGCCTCCAGAATATAACGCGTCCAATGGCCTGGGCACCACGTGTTACACGGAAATGGCCGCGGTTACACGAGGACTACGGTAACGACACCTAGGGCAAAGTCCCTCACCGACTTCTTGTATTTAAAGGCCCCTTTGGTCAACGAGGCCTCGAGGAAAACCAAGGACCTTTGATACCAAAGACTGTTATTGGATGAATTGAGTCATTGCTCCAAACCCAAGCCCTTGTCACACCGCGGCACTTTTATACCATTCGTATGTATTCTTTCAACAGCACGTCTCGTCCTCGGCAACCCAAAATGCACCCTAGAGCCTCAAGGCGTCTATACACAGAGTCCGTCCCGCTGAGTAGGTGTCTCTTGGCAATATCACCGCTTGCTTCTGCACATGATACTAGTCACATGTTGGAATTACACTGACTGTAGATGACCCGACAACCAGACCCGTGCTGGTAGCCTGACCGCGCGACAAGACCGCCGCCAGCAAGTATTCCATCCTTCGTACGATTCCATTCTTGACGAGTGAAAGTAGACGGCCGTCGCCCTGGCCCAGCTGTCCCGAGCAATCGTGCCGTGCGACAGGCCCAAAGGCGGTGCTCCAAAGACCAGCCTCGTCGCCTCTCCCGCAGCCATTCAGCAGTCGCATCAACTTATCGTGGATGTGCTCCAACGACACACTCGGGCCCCAGCAGATGCCGCCACTGATCCTCGCCTGCTTCAGCCACGCAATAGCCGTGTCCAGCTTGCCGCTGCTCTCGTAAATCTTGGCAATGTCCTCCATTGTCCAAACTGCACACTCGTCGTGGAAACGAGGATCCGGATTGGGCCCGAACGCCTCTCCAACAGGCTGTCCTACAATGTCGAAGCATACAGTGAGAGCCGAGACCCAGTCGCCTTGGTCCATGTAGATGTGCTCCAGCAGACGGGCGAGTTGTCTCTCCTGGAGCGAGCCCTCGCCGGCCGTCGTGCGAATCTCCCCCAGGGCCAGGGTACACGTGCGCAGGGCCCGATCGTAGTCGCGCCCTCGACGGAGCAGGGCGATGAATCGCTTTTGGGCGTGCAGCCTCAACGGGTTGGTGGGCTCGAGGCTCGCGCACAGCCGGTCCACGATGCATTGCAGCGCGGTCAATGTATACTCTTGGCTGTCCATGCCTTGATGCAGCCGTGACAAGACGACCAAGATGGGGCTCTCTCGGGGCAGCTGCTTGAGTGCCAAGGAATGCAAATACGACAGCAAGGCCTTGCGGACGTCGGGATGTGCGGCTGTATTCACGGGCGACAAGGTACTCAGTATCTCGATGAGGGCGGTTGTCGCGCCCTGCGTGAAGATGTCGTTGGAGTGTGTCGCTGCCGCCGTCGAACTCTCGAGTAGCCTGCGAGCCTTGGGCAGGTCAGAAATTTTGAAGAAGTAAATGCTTTCGCTGCAGTCCTTCCAAAAGCGCGGCTGTAGCATCGCCGGCGTCGGGTCAAACCCGCCCGGGGTGTAGTACGTCCGAATGCTGAAAAGAACCAGGTCCAAGTGGGAGTCTGTGAGAGCTCCCGGCACTTGTCTGGGGCAAGGAAATGCGGCTTGTTTTTGGTGAAGCTGTAATTGGGTTCCGCGTCGTTCCACCGAGGCAGGTCTTCTTGTCTGTGGTACCGGCGCCGTATGTGCGTTGGCGAAGGACGACGACGTTGACAAGGTCACATTACCAGACGAGGCCGTCTCATGGAATGTCAAGGCAAAGCCCGAGTCACGGGCGTTGTTGATACTCTGCCGTTGTGTCACCGCCATGTGAAGACCCTTCATATCGGCCGACAATGCAGTCAGCTGCTGGGCTACGTCATGGAATCCTCGGAGCAAAATGTCATTGTTCACGGCCGCAAGTGTATTTGTCGTCACCTGTACCTGCAAACCCACGAGCGAGAGCTCACGCACCACGTCGATGTTGAGGCGATTCAGGCGCTCCAGCTTGTCTGGCAATTCCTTCTCCATTTTCAGCGACACAATCGACTTCCACATCCGGGCCATTCGCCTCCCTTTGGCGACTGACCCTGGACCGAACTCGGCCATTGGCGCGAGAAACGAATTTACATCTTGCGTCGCCTTGTATAGAGCCGTCATGGTTTCAAGGAGCCCGTCCAGGTGCGCTTGGGATTGGATCTGCTTGTACATGTCGGATCCTCCATGCTGCGGGGATAGGCTGGAACAGAGGGACTCGACGTGTGATGTAGATGCCTCAACCTCACTGAGCAGTCTTGCAAGCTTGGGGGGGACTTCTCTAAGGCTTCTGACAACTCCAATCGTCTTGACGAGAGCTCCGGCAGCGGCTTCGGCGAACTGAACCGCCGCAGCGACGGCGCCCAGAACTGCCAATGCCTCGGCCATGCTTGCTACTGGAAGTATTCCAGCCCTGAGAGTTCAAAAGGATCCTTGTAGGTGCTGATGGCTAGGGTTTTGATCCAGCAGCCAACCTCGACGGCCGTGGGAGGCTCAGTCAGCCCCCGTTGGGTTAAAGATGAGTTACAACTTTCAGGCAATATGACATGGCCGGCGATGGCGCCCGTTTAATGTTTCGATGTCGGCACGAGTAGGAATGCACCGCCTCACGGGTGACGGAGAGCTGCGCCTGGTTTAGCGAACAAGTAGGCATGCCCAGCTAGTTGCTGATCCCAGGTGCCATCTTCGTATTCGTCATCCCGTGCATCAAATCATGCAGTGTGATGCGAGGCTTGTTGATGATTGGCAGCCACCAGGCTCCAAGTTGTGCCGCTTGAAGCAAGAGAAGGCACGGCAAGCTCGCCCTTGTGATCCGTACAACGCATGCTTACTTTGTCCATTTTGCAACTAGCCAGCAAGCATTTCCTCATGAGGCTGCAGATGCGACTCAGCCCAGCTGCATGCCTTGTTGGGCCAAGTAGCAGCATGACGAGGCTCTCTTTTTGCTGACATTTTCCACTCGAGCTGAGCTTGCTCTTCTTCATTTATTGCCTCATAGTTTCTCCCATTATTCCAAGCACGCCGCATTCTTCTCGGACTCGATTACGCCTTCATACGACACTTTGGGGACTTGTCATGTCTGCGAACCCGAGTATGGAGTTGTGCTCGGCATGCAACCGCTTCGTCCAAGACAACTACCGCGAATGCAAGCACCACGGTACTCTGAGAGAGCTCAAAAATTGCGCAGAGACCAAAACGACACCGTCTTGCGCTCTTTGCTGTCTGTTGTGGACCGGCGTGCAAGCGCAGTATTCTGTTTCCGTTTCCATGTCTAATGTTGGCAGCATTCTCGCAAGTGATTATACCTTGGATCTGGGCTATACCCGCCAGGGACATCTGCGCTGGATGTACGCCAAGGGGACTGTTATGAGTGATGGAACTCGCCCAATTTTGGGGACCCTGGATATAATTTCTGAACAAGGTAGGCATAATACCACTCTTGTCTACAACCTTGGCGTTTGCAACGACTTTTGTATCCCTTCAACTAATCTAACCATGGGGCCGGATAAGGTATAGAGAGCAGCTTCTCACAAAGAACTATTACGACAGGTCAATGGGATGCCTGGAGCCATCAAACCACCTTGACCGTCAAAGGGTGGCTGACTGAGTGCCATGATAAACACCCGTGGTGTGGGCGCCCGCGGCCCCAAAAAGCGCCAACAAGGCTAGTCGACATTGGCGATCCATCTAGTTATAGACTGATTGAAACAAAGGGCGGCCAGAAGGAGCTGTACGTGGCTCTATCATATGTCTGGGGCATCAAGAAGAAGAAAGGTGAAAGCATCCATCAGTTAAAACTTGTCAAGAAAACAAGGAGTGACCTGATGAAGGGGATCAAGCCTTCTCAGATGACGGCTTCACATCGAGAGGGTAGTATGGTGGCTCGGGACCTGGGCTACCGCTACATATGGATCGATGCTCTTTGCATCATGCAGGATGACATTGCCGACTGGAAGAATGCAGCGGTAGAAGTTCCCGACATATACAATAATGCCGTACTCACCATTACAGCGGGCAGAAGCCATGACAGCCGTGACGGGTTCCTCACAGAGCGCCGGCCGGTCAAGCTCCCACGCAGAACCGAGGGCAGCAGCCGAAATCTCACGTCAACTTTCGAGGTGAGCCTGGCGAGGAATCGGGCCATTGGTCCGGCAGACGAGCGCGCCTGGTGTTTTCAAGAAGCCCTGCTGAGCAGGCGAAGCCTTATATTCGGCATGGGACAGCTCATCTTCAAGTGTCGGAAGCACAAGGCATTCCAGGATGGCAGTCACGACAAATTCATGTTTGACGAGGCTGCCTTTCACCACGATTGGGTCTTGCCCTTTCCTCCCGAGGCGCCTCGCACAGAAAATGACAAGAGTCCACCCACGCAGAGCCACATCGTACATGGCTGGTACCGCGTTGCGCAAAAGTACGCCATGCGAGACATGTACGACCCCTTCGACTGCTACGCCGCGCTCGCAGGCATTGCCAGACGGTGCGAGTCTGCTCTGGCTAAAGCGAGCAAAGACGGAGCCGCTCCTAGATACCTCTGTGGACTGTGGGAGACGGACACTTTTGCCCATGCCCTCATGTGGCGGAGGTGCCTCGACGCAAGACTTGCGCGGGATTGTCGTCTTCTGGAGGAGCCCGGGCCCGAGCAAGACCCGATCAGCAGAGCGCCTTCATGGTCGTGGATGGCCCTCGTAGGCCGAATCACGTTCCATGGCGCGCCGGTGACGACGAGCGGCCCCCCTTCAGCGGGCTTTATTCGAGTTCCCTGCTGTGTCCCTGCCAACGGACGAGGAAGCTGGACTCGTGAGAGCTGGGGCATCAGGACCCAGCTCGAGGCGCGGGAAATCCAAACATCTCTGCCGTTGAGGATTGAGGTCAAGGGCCGTCCTCGTCGAGTGCGCGCCACGACGGGTCGTGTTTGTGGCTACATGATGTTTCTCAGGTACGGAGAGATGTTGGCTAACCATAGTACTATTGACCCTGCTGAGTCGGAAAATTTGAGAGAACATGGTGTTGTACTACAGGACTTGAGGGATCAAGACGACGAAAAGGGCATTGCATTGGCACTGTTTGACCGTAAGCAGGTAGATTATACAGAGCTTTGGGCTTTGCCATTTTTTACATGTTCGATGGGGACTCGCAATGTACCAAGTGAGGGTTTGCTGCTTTGCAAGAATATCACGGGCACTTTTTCCAGAGTAGGCGTGTTTTGGGTCAAGAAGTGCGAAGCATTTATAGACTTGCAAGAACAGGTTCTTTGTATTGAGTAGAGGGCTATTAGAGCAGGGGTTAGAAACATACAAGTAGCATATAGGTGTCATCAGTATATTTCGACAACATCTTCAATCGTCAAGTCACCTGTAAAAGTGTCCAAAAGCGAGTCCGGTGCTGACCGTACAACAACATTGAAAGTCTAGTTAGGACTTCTCTAAGGCCTCTGACAACTCTAATGGTCTTGACGAGAGCTTTGGCAGCAGCTTCGGCGAACTGGACCGCTGCGGTCACTGCGCCCAGACATAGGTGCTGACCGTTCACTCGCTAAGTAGGACGTTCAGTAGAATACTAAGTCTTCAAGCGTTATTCAAATTTACTTTAACGAGCTAACCTATATAACGTGCCCCAAACGTTTTAACATAGATTATTGGCTCCTTGATATCTTGAGTATTCGTTACTCCATGTATCTGTTTTACTCTTCCAGAAATCGAAGTGGATACGGAGACTCGTGCAGCGCTACGGGGGGAAGTTTCAACGATATTAAGGGAACGAGTCAGGGTACTTTGATTAGAGATGTTATGTTCACGGGCTGCCTATATGCTCTCGGGTGAACTGTACGAATATTACGTGTAGATCTTTTACTGAAAAACTATATTGGCCGCAAAATTTCCTTTCTGTTTTAGAGAATACAAGAGCGGCAATCATTGCCCGTTGACCGTGCCAGGAGTGCGGTAGACTTTTGTCCAGTATTGTCACACGGTTGCACGAGGGCTACGGTCACTGCACCAGGCAGAAGGGCCCTCGCCGACTTCTTGTATTTACAAAGCTCTTTAATCCATCCAGGCCTTGAGAAAGCCAAGGGCCTTTGATGCCAAAGACTGTTACTAGATGAATTGAGCTATTTCTCCAAGCCCTCACTGAGACCTGTCACATTAGCGAATTATCAAGGCAGAAGGTGAGGTTCCTGCGGTTCAAATTGGCATCCTACTAGACCATATCTACATCCTCGATTTTGATCTCAAGCTCGTGGTCCACATCCTCAGACTCGCCGTCCTCCTCAACAACAGATTTCTCACCAATAAGTAGAAACTGGGCATTAGTATAGTCGAGATGATCCGGAGTCGATGGAATCCAGCGCAGGGATCGAAAATCGCTCAATATCCTGCCAGTACAGCTTTAGTACGTGTCTCAAAAGGGCCAACGCAATTGTACCTACTGCTCCGAAAACTCGGGCCCTACAGGGAGCTGTACATTGGCCGGGCCTTCATAGGTAGGATTTCTGGTACTGATCAAAAAGCTTCCTCGGACTTGGACCTTGAGATGCTCCCTTAGAAACTTGCCGAGTGTCTCTGGCTGCGTTATCACGTAAACCAGATGAGTTCGACCACCCGCCGACGACAGGGTATACGTGCCCTCGCAGACCTTTGTCGCGGCTGGCGTATGATGGATGCCTGCTGTTTTTGTCTCGTAATCCGCTGCTGTGGTGAGCTCGTCCTTGACGTCATCGTCTGATGCATTTGCTTTGGCGACAAACGCCATGAAGCGTTCTCCTTTGGACGGGAGCGCCTTCTTTGGCAGTATCAGGACCCTTGCTGCATTTTTGTTGGCGAGCGTCTGTTTGACAGCTTGTTCGGCACGAGCAATAGGCTGTAGGAGTATGTAAGATCGTGCGATGCTATTAATATCGTTTACTTGATCAGATGTGTCAGTTCCTACCCGGGCCCGAATGAGAAGGGAGAAGACGCCGGCTTCCAGTATGACGCAGCTGTCGGCAGAGTGTTTGGCAGCCATTATTCTTTGAAAAGGTCAAGTCCAATTCCCCGAGGATGACAACTGTAAATTTTGGGGATGTTGCCTTGCTTTGATTCACGGAGAGTCGAGGGGAGCAGAATGAATTTAAGCGGCGGAAGATGCAATCTGACCCGCAGTGGCGCTGCTGTCATACGATCAACTTGTGAAGGTGGTATTGAAACCTCGACCATGATTCCCAGTATTCAAGTCATGGCATCCTCGGCATTTATTGGGCGCCACAAAAGCTCAACGCCACGACAGTTTAAAGGGATCAACCCCAGCTAGTGTGTCAGTTGCCGCCATCCTCTTGCAATATCACAACATGGGAGACATGTAAAACACCATGTGAATGAAGCTGCAACTAACTTTGGCACTTGAATCTATCCCCTGCTCAATTTCAACGTGTGACGCTCACTTTACTTGAAATTTGCCCTTGTCGACTCAGTGTTGTCTCTTTTTTTATTAAAGGAATTACATTATATTTTTATATATACTCGTATCACATGATATATTTTCATATATACTTGTATCATATTATATATTTTGTATGTACTCTCATTATATTATATATTCTTGTATGTACTCGTATTATGCTTGTAATCTCACTTGACTACAGAGCGAAACAATACCCCCCGTTAATATATTTTTGTATCCCTACCACGTCGTGTAGTCAAGACGATTCCCTTGCGCCTGTGCCTAAATTTGGGAGGCCGTGAGCTTGCTCCGTGTGCTCCACTGTGCCTTTGAAGTGTGTTTGCTTTGTCACTTTTCAAATGCCCTTCTTAGTTCCACGAGTCTTTGCTCCACGAACCTTGATTCCACGAGCCTCCGCTTCTATTTCTTTGCGTGCCTTTTCTCGATGGCGGTCGTTCCTTTCAAGTACCTCCTTCAGAGTAGTAGTTGGTAGACAGCACTGAGCAAATATATGTGACTCACTTGTATGATGTCCCTCACGCTGTAGATAAGCATCCGCATTTTTCCTGTCCAAATCTATTTTCCTGGCAGAAGTAAAGTACGGCAACGCTGCGGTACTGCCTGGCCGTCCTGCAAACCAGTCCCATACAGTCTCCGGCAATGGGGTCGTTCCGCGTTTCAGTAAGCTCCGCTGAAGATCAACAGGACTGGTAGATAATCCCAATTCCCGGAATTTCTTAGCCAAAAGGATTTCGTATGTAGAGATGCCCGCTACAGGTCTGTCACGCATCACCAACGCCCGCGGATGTGCTAGGCACTGGATCCGCCCTGTTGTCCAAGGAATTGATATGTAATACAGAACAACGGGCCTGAAGGAGCCCATAAGCCAGTGGCGGAGAATCTTTTCGGCTGATGCAGGCACACGAATAAACGATACCTCGCGATTCCGCTCCAGCTGACCTTGGAAACGGATATATTCGGAATACAAGGGCTTCGAGCCGTGTGCTCGATCAAAGCGACGCTGGACGTGGTGGGCGGTATGGATCTGGAAGGGATGCGACGGCTTCAGTATCGCTTCCAGAAGTTCGACCGAGTTTAGTGGTGCTTCAACAATCCACGGAATGGTGGGCTTCCCTTGGAGCGGTTCGGCCACTGGCGTGACGGGAATTTCGAGTTGCATTGTAGATGCACTTTCAAAAATGCCGCGATAGCGCTCATATGTAGAGTCGTAATTCGGTTCTAGGGGCAGCTCATGGTCGGATACAGGTTTCTGAACGGGAGGAAGCTCCCTGTATTCTTCTGGGGGATCTTGGAGGGCTCGGGCGACTCGTTCTTGTTCCCTCTGGCGCCTGAGCTTGGCGACTGCTCTCACTCTTTCGATGACTTCATCCCTTGGTGCTTCTGCCATGATGTCGCACGGATTTGGTCTGGTCTGGTAGAAGAGGAGAGAATGCAGGGGAGAAGACTGGAGGCACTGGGTTATTAATAGAAAAATGGACCACCAGACTTGACCGTGCCTTTTCATAAGGGACGCGGGGGTAAATATTACATGTAACTTTGGACTATGAAGACTAAATCACGTCAATCGAGTCTGGTTCGATTGAATGCTACCACGTGCATCTACCAAGGTATTGAGGTGAACCCAAGCCATCCACGTCAGCACCTACAAGCGTCCCGCTTTTGAACTCTCCATGTCGGACCAAAATATTGACTTCCAGCAGTAGCAGGCATGGCCGAGGCATTAGCGCTTTTAGGCGCTGTTATTATAGTGGTCTAGTTCGCCCAAGTTGCTGCCAGAGTTCTCGCCAAGACCAGTCAAGTTGACCTTGACGTGCATGCATTTGATTAGAGTCAATCAGCAAACTAGTTGGGCTTCAATGTTGCCTGTTAAGTCAAGTCTGGTCAAACTAGACGCTGAAGAAGATCTCTGGCGCCATCTTAAGGCGGTCCGGTGCATTCCTATTAACACCACTGTACGTGCCAGCTCGAGCCGAAGCATTAAACGGGCGCCATCGCCGGCCATGTTTTGCTGCCTACAAGTCCCTAGCCATCTTTAACCCAATAGGGGCTGACTGAGGCTCCCCCGGCCGTCGAGGTTGATTCCCGGGTCAAGAACCTAGCTCATCAGCACCTACAACAAACATGGCCAAGGCATTGGCAGCTATGTTTTGGCAACAAGCAGTAGGTAATGGAGGTCTTTCCGAAGGCATTAGATGAGAAATACGACTATGTAGGAGATTTGAATGCAATCAAAGAGTTTAGAAAGCCACCAATAAGTGACACGGCGAATTGCTAACATTGAAGCGACGCACGGAGAACCAGACCGGCATCATGACAATACAGCTACTCTATTGACTTTCAATCCGCCTGGTAAAGACCCAACTTATCCTTCATGAGAAGGAAATTTATATACCTAGCCCCTGTTTAACATTTATCTTTGCGAACAATGACATTCCAATTCGTCTCGTGGAAAATCTGGCCAGCAATAGAAACTCCGCTAGGATTCCAGCTAAAATATTTACGACAGTGCTTCTCAAGCTCATACACACCATCCGCAATGCTCCCAAATGAATTCAACGTCTTTGGCTTCTTGTCCTATACGCAACGGCATTAGAAAGAGACTCATCGCTCGGCCAGGGGGACAATCATACATCATTGCACCACCAAATAGCCGCATTATATGAGCAGCTCACCCGACCGCAGGCACCGGGTCCCGCGCCGTTGGTCGGTCTTCCCGGAACGCGGTAGAGGTAAACGCGTCCCTCGGCAATGGCGCCTCCGTTGCAATACTGCCAGCGGCCGCCGCAAAAGTATTTCGATTTTGAGAAGTCGGTGCGCTTGGCGAGTTGGCCATGTGTCTCATCCGTAGGAGCTTCCACCTTGTCGCCGAGGCCAAAGTCCTTGTCCCAGTTGGGATTGAGAGAGAGGAGCTCCTGGTGGACTTGCTGAATAGTGCCGTTGAGGCGGACTTTGTCGCCACCGGGGGTTACTTCAACCTCCCACTCGGGGATGAAGACGGGGCGGCTTTCGAAGTCGTCGAGAGCAGCACTGAAGACCTAGGACGGTTAGTATACGCGTCCTCGATATCTGGGATAGATGGCGGAGATGCATACCGAGGTGCACAAAGCACTGGCGGCAAGGAATAGCTCGAGGACTCTCATCTTGAACAGTCTGTGCAAATTGAAAAGGGTAGGTTGGATTAGAATTGTGGGAATGGAGATGCTTGAGGGACCGTTGTCTAACACGCAGAGGGGGTGCTTTTTATATCTCCCAAACTCGGGGGGATACCCCTCGGCGATGACGGACAAGACGAGATATTTTCTCAACAAATGCATCATGGATCCTGGAGCTTTGGTGGTCAGCAGCCGACATCCATCCAGCGGGGCGCCCAACCTACCAGCCTGCATGCGAGTTATCTAGCAAGGATTGAACCATGATGGATAGTTGTTGATGTGGTCAGCACATCCAACGCTGGACAGGATGTGGAAAAGTCTGAGGATGGAAATGCCGACAGCCCCAATGCGACTGGGAATTTGTGAGCATGGGTGGCACCTCTTCATACAAGACCACGGCGCATTTCCCCAAGGACTGTACCTTGGTATATTTGAAAGGGCTCAGCGAGGGATTGTAGCCCTCGTCAGGCCTCGTGTAACCATGTGACGGTAGGGCTGCGAACAATGATGGACTAGACCTCAACCGACTTGACCGACACGGCGACCTGGAGCTGTGGGGAAGTCAGCTCATTATAAGCCTATTTGACAAAGGCTGGCCAGATTCTCATCCTTACGCGGCAACTTTTACCTATTCTAGATAATTGGGCGGACCTTGCCAGGGGCCGCAACTTCCTAAGCAGGGGCAAGTCCAAGAGCAGAGTGGGCTATTATTGCTGACAGGAATCCCATGCAGGCGGTCTTATTGCATATTTTATAGCCTATCAGAGTTCTGTGTGTATTCAATCCATCATGTCTGGATATCAACAGCCGACGATGCGCCGTGGATCGAGCATTTTCCAAGTCCAGTCGGACGTCGTGACGCTATTCTTTTCCTGCCGCCCCCTTCCCCGACGCTGGTTTTCTCGTCGTGCGACTCGTTGGTCGACTTTCAATATTCGCGTCGTGCATTTCTGAATATGAGAAACAAGGCACTAGCTATCTACCGATCTTGCCCGTATAACCCTAGGTGAAGCCCAGTAACAGATAGCCGCCGGCGGATCGTGCCATAACGGTAACATTTGAGCGGGGCATTACCGGCGCTTCTGCGCCTATCGGGTGATAATTTCGGCGACTGCTCCATATGTATGTATCATTTTCGTGGTCCTCTGTCTTTAATCCTGGACCTAGGGTCGGTATTGATGTATGTATGTTCAAGGCTGCCAGGCAGACGCCAAGGATGCGTAGCCGCGTAGTATTGCATGTCATGTGTGATTAGGCCTGGAATTATGTACTGTGTATCTTTTCTTCCCTGGCCTGCGACCTGCTTCCTCGTACAGTATTTTCGTAGTATTGAAAAAATTGGACAACTGCTAGGTTCGACCCTTCTCTGACAGGTCTTGTAGAGTGTGAGCCACATAACCATTAGACACCCACCTGGCTGGAATCACGATAGCTAACCAATCTAAACAGGCCCTCTCACTCTACTGGGCCCAGTAACAGCAAGTAGTAAATGTAGGCGTGGAGGTTGGGAAGAATAACAAGACACGCCCAAACGGGGGTTAGGGTTAATCCCTTTGGACATATTGGCTACATCAAGTTGGCTAGTTCCAAGATTCTTCAAGTGCTACTAGAAGTGTTGTGGAAAGCACCAGACATTTAGCGGCAATTATCCAGGCGAATAGTAGACTAATGTCTTCCAGTATTGCCTAGTACTATAACTTGGTCAAACTATGCGTCCCCTTTTCGCTTTTCATACCAGATTACCACGGAGTAATTTATGCATTAAGAACGATTCAGTATTTCGCATACGAAGCACGACTCTACTAACAATCATATGATGACGCATTAATAAAGACAAGTCCTTCCCTACAACAGCACCCCACTAAGCGTACGTGAGACAGCTCATCTCTTCCGAGTTTAACATAACGTTGGAGAGATTTCTTCCTCTTTGCAAAAACCAACAACCGTGGTTTTGCTTTTCCATATCCTTGCAGAAGCCGTTCAAGATACGAGCGGCCGATGGTTCGGTTAGCCGATTAAAGATTATATTCCATCGTCCCATTTACGTAATGCTTGGAACCTAAAATCAAGGCCGGTAATCTCAAGAAAAGGCGCTTCGAGTCTCGGAGGTTACCATAATAGCTCCAAAGTCCGACTTCTAGTTCCAGATCGGTTCCCGAGCCGTTTCGTCGCCATCGCCAGACTCTTTATCCATGCCACTTCTGCAGGCCATTGTACTAGGGAATGAAAATCCAATGCGATACATAGCCTTTTCTGCTTCCTCCTCCACCACACGATTGGCGTTTGTCTCCGGGGCAAGGATGATTGCAGTAGTACTCAAAGTCGTCGCCGGTACGTATGCCGATATCCTGATGAGCATCGGTGCAGTCTAATGTAAAGATAGATTAGCCACGTGCTCCAGTATTCCAATCCTTTGCTACATTCGTGTTTTTTCTTTCTTTTTTGGCTTCCCATTATTTCCTTCACGATTTTAGTCAAAAACTCACAGCAGTTGTTATCCTTGTCCAGAGCTATTCCAGTTTTGCCATGCTTGCCAACACAAAAGTCGGCACAAGAGTTGACCGTCATTCTTGTAGCATCCGTGTATTTCGGGCCAGTGTACTTGGCTTCATCAAACTCGTAACACCATTCAAACGTCAGTCCAGCCAGGTAGCCGGGTGCAGACAGAAATTGCGCATCGCCATAGACACTGAAGGCACTGTGACCGCCACAAGATGCCGATTCGTCTCCGGAGCACTTGTCGGTGCAAACACTGTCGTCTACAAGCTTCGCCCCATGTGAGAGTTGAAAACCGCAAACTGTATTAGAGTACGATTAGATACACATCTGCGAGAGAAATTCTTTTCATGGATTCTTTGTTGTGGCACTTGCAGCATGAATAGTTATCCAAAGCGGCCAGCGGATAGTCGTTTCCGAAACCATTGTCGGAATCGTGATTTCCGTTTTGACATGCTCTTGCGCAATATGCAGGAGACGCTTTGATCTTTTGGAAGTTCAAAATATTGCATGCCAATGGACGTGGAATGCGGGGGATGTCGTCGGGCGGCAAGACAAGGCATCCTAGGTACGGAGGGGTTTCTGCGAACACGCGGGCAAATAGTAAGGAGAGCATTAGGGATGGGACTAGGGTACGCATGGCAGTTTCTTGGTTTCAGAGTCTGGCTGTTCTTTGCTGATAAATCATGAAATACCAAATCTCGATGCAGACTTTGGAGGTAGACTCGGGTAGTGTATGGTAGACTCTAGGTATAGTTTGATGAGGTGGATTCCCAGGGACGTCTTGCTAATAGCTCAGAAGATATTAAATAAACAGGAGACTTTGCGCTATACTTGCTGATAGTAGTCAACAGGATATAAAATACAAGAAAATATCCATCCTTCCGTTCAAAGGACATGTACGTCAGCAGCAACCGAATGCATCAAGCCCATTTAATAGAATCTAGCCTCTGTTCGGCTGAGAATCACGGCACCCCGCAGAATTTGGCACTTTGAAAATGCAAGCACGGCTCGACTCTGGGCTGTCGTGGTCACCGAGACGATTCGTCATATGCGCTCTGCAGCTAATCGGGTAATATCTAGGCATGGCCTGATGGAAAGGACGCAAGGACCGCCGCGTTGTATTTTGGCTGCCGGTCGTCAGGACCGTGTGATACGAACACCACGGTCGTTGTATTGGAGTCGGTGTCGAGGGCTGCTACAGAGTCATTCATGTCTCTGTTCATGAAGCAAGTTGTGGGCGTGTCGCGCATCACTCACAGTCTTCTTCGAGAGGACAATTCCAATGTCTGAGCCAGACCACTAGGCTTAACTGACGCAAGCCAGTTGCTGTTCTGCTGAAGAGATGGTCGCCTACGCAGGCATGCTTCAACATGACCTGTCAAGATGACCGAAATGATACGTCATTCGTGACGAACTTAGCTCCGCCTGACCTGTCTTCCCTAGGATGACCACTCTCCGTACAATGAGCTTTGTTGGACGTTGGGTATGCAAGAAGTGAAGAAAGTGGCCAGGGAACAAGAGCATGCATTAGTAAACAGACATTCCTCGTTTATACGATGGTACCCGTACGATGAGCACTCAAGGCTACGGACACCGCCACAATGCATACTCGGCGAATACGTCCCACTCGGTTTCAAACGGTCTCATGATTTTGTCGGCCCATCCATCACTACGCCACTCATGTTGGTACTCAACTCCGTACAGCAGCTTACAATACTCCCAATACTCTGGGTACCAGCCAGCTTGCTCCCAATCAATAATACCTGCAATTCGTCGAGGCCCAGGTCCGTCGGATATGATGATATTTCCAAGCGTAAGGTCCCCATGAGTGAAATATATTTCCCCCGTGTCGGGCAGATATTCTCGATATGGCCCTGTCACGCCGTTCGGCCCAGGCCTTTGACGAGTCGCAGCAGCAAGCAACCAGTCGTTGAATGACTTTATAGTCTGAAATGGACCCTCTTCGTAATCAAGCTTAAAGAACTTATCTTGCACAGTTCCTCCGTTGATGGATGCTAAATCGTGGTCAGCGCGCGCCATGTAGAAAAATGTTTGGGGGTATATACCAATAGAGCGACTTGAAGAGCCTTGACCGAGTCGTCTTAATTCTTTAACAATTCGGTTCAAGTCGACACATATTAATGTTTTGTCATCGCTGGTGAGCGTTGGCCACACTTCTCGCAATGTTTGCCCCGGCATCAGGCTCATGTAGATGAAGTTGTCGTCGCCGTACTTTCTCCATCCAAACACCTCAGGAACAGGTACCTCAGTATCTGCAAAGACCTGTCTGATGGCTCTCATGGTTTTTACTTCCTCTAGCCGTAGATAATCGGAGTGACCAATCTTGACAGCGAGATTCAGGTGTTCAAGCTTCACGACGCAGGCTCCTTGGTCACCAAATTGTTGGATGATGGATGAAGGTGATGGCAGCTGTAACGAGGGATCCCCCGATCGGAAAAATGAGGTGTCGCGAAAATCCATCTCAGCCTGTGCCATGTCAGGCAAAGAGGCGATGTCGATGCGTAACTCATCTGCTCGTTTTGCCGCCATGGCTGAGGGTCAAGTGTAATGAGGAAGTTTGTGGAAACATTGAAGGAACAGAAATCAGAGCCTCAATGCCATGGCCCGCCAATCAGCATTGTCTAGGCCATGTTTGCGCGCGACTACGCAGGACATGCATGTTGTTCCCTAAATCTTTCCAATCAAATGTTTATATTTGGTCCATGTCAAGACCAACACCAGTTTCAAGGGCGCGTTCCAGGCGACCAGCCCCATGTCCAAAGCACCAGCCTGCGATAGGTTCTAGCTTAATTACAGTCGCTTACACAAGGAATCTGATTCGCTATTCAAATTATGCCCACTGCCGGAGTCATGACCATGTTGGTTGACGGGCGGCAACACCGCTTCCGACTCTATTTGAATGACACTGCAAGTTCTTCAACTCCGTTTCTTAAGCCGTATCTCTGATTCAACGAAAGTTAGATAGTTGCCATCTTTGTCACTTGCCCATTCTTAAACAGCAACCGTCGAACGCTGTATACATGGCTTATCGTTCCGTGTATCTGGCTAAGTATCGTGGCTCTCCAAGCCAACGCGCCCATTTCGCCATTTTCATTCCAAATTCTACCAACGACAACCCGGATCTAGACAAAGACTGGAAATCAAAACCATGCCTGGGCACCGTCATCCACGTCGTGGGTGAACCGCTGATGAAGGGCTATACGCTCGAGTTCAAACGGAACGAGGAGTGTAGTACTTCTCCCGACATAGATGAACTCGTGTTCCTCGGAACTGTTGACTCAACTCACGTCCATGATCCCCCCGACACAGATTTTGTGAGGGAGACTCATCCACGACAAACACTCGAACAGGAAATAGCCACGATAGCCCCTCCTCCCAGAGGCCAGGATATTCGAGCTCCCATCGATGGTGTAAGTATTGTATCCGAGTAGGGTGCGCCGAGCATTGTTAACAATATCCTAGGTTCGCACGAAGCGGTGCCAAGAATGGACCATGGAATGTCTCTCTCGACTGGAGGAGCAGTGCCTCATCAGTTCTGGCGCTGTCAAGATCGCGCAGAGCCATCGAGACGCGCCGAATCATGGTATATTTGGGCAGTCGGGGGTTTCCAAGACCCCAGGGAGCGCTGCACAGTGAAGCAACATGAATCCGCCAAGTCGACAAGCGCAACAGCCAGGTATTTAATGGGCACCTGGGTGTGTGATGGGGTACTGGGATGGGGTACTGGGATGGCCGATGGGTCAGCGATGACAGACTGGACGAGATTCGCAAACTAGCATTCCACCCTGTTCCGATGCAGGGACATGGGCTCGGACGGAAAACTTGCATCCTCTCTGTGCCGCACATGGAAGGGGAGGACCTGGACGTGACCATTATTATCAGTGGAACTGATTGGGTTGACTCGGTCGACCGGTACATATACGACGCTCTCTGGCATTCTTCCAACCAGACAATAGCCCTAGCTGTACCAAAAGATGACGTGGCATTCAAACCCATGAGTACATGAACTACTTTGGTATATTGAGGGCGCGTGGAACTCGTTGCATATAGCCTGCTGACAAGTAATGCAGCCCCCAATGTCTTTGGTATTAAAGGTCCTTAGTTTTCCTCAAGGCCTTGAGGGACCAAAGGCCTCTATAAATACAAGAAGTCGGTGAGGGACTTTGCCCTAGGTCCCGTGACCGAAGTCCTTGTTTAACCTTTGACATTTCCCTGTGACAGGTGATGGTAAGTTTATGAAGACCTTTGGTGTCCATTTTGGTTCGGTCGAGTCGTGATCTCTCTTGGGGTCCTGGTAGGTCGATAGACGGCTGTCCTCGGGGGATTCTGCCCGACAAAGAGCACCGTTACGAAGTAGTAAGCGCAATTACTAGAGAGGGCCGCTATAAAGTCGTTACGTGGGAGTTAAGGGGTTTATACGCCGATTATTTATTAGGCTTAGATTCGATATCTCAGCCATACATTTAGGCACAACCGGTATTTAACTAGACCAGGATCATGTACCTGGACATCGCCTTCCATGTCATATGCCGTAATATATTATTACTACGTACGACTTAATAGGCAAGTATATTCCGCCAGACCAGACTCTAGACAAAATCAATATAACAGGTTATTCCCCCCAAAAGCAATTTTCACGCCATGTCACCGTCCTTGAACTAAACTGTGTACAGAGAAAATACAGGCTGCTAACATCACAGTTCAAGGCAATAGCGTCAATGTTTCTAAGATGGAGAATAACGAACCCAAGAGCCAAGTATACAAGAGTGCGGAGTACAACAAAAAGCATGGGATGGTTGTACCAATCAGCGCAACATAGCCTTACTTAAATTATAATGATGGATAAAATGTTTCCAGTACCTGTCCCTGAATATACTTAAGAGCACAAGAGCTGCGTCGAATGGTCTTCTTGCTAAGCTTACATGCCGCTTGATTACTTTTGTCGCATGAAGAATGTGTTGCAAGATACCCGGCATTGATACTAGCCAGCATACTCAGGAAGCATATGAGGATGCCAAAAACAGCCCACGGACAGCGTGGCGGCTTACATACATGAACCAATTGGCCAATTTGAGGAGGTAACACAAGGTGTTGTACTCCAACATGCACCACCCGCAGGCAAGTGGTGGGCCAACATGCAGCTTGTGGCAATGCAAGCATCGTGAAAATGTACCCTGTCGCAACGACATGCGTGGTAAGCTATGCAGGTACACTCACACAGATGCCGTCGCCGCCGACGCATATAGCCATCACATCAGTCTTTCTTCCTAATCTTGGGAAAACTCAGCCACACCACCGTCACAACCACAATCAATGCCAGCACAATCGGCTGCAAAACCTGGACACCAGCCGTACTCGCCACCGCGCCAATCATAAACGGAAACACGGTACCACCCGTGCCTCCCAGCGCCATGGCAAACCCAATCGCACTTACATGAATCCTCTTGGGAAGGAGTTTCGCCGTGACCATGACCGCCCCCGGGAACATGGGTCCCAAAAAGAAGCCCAGAAAGGCAATGGCCACGGCAGACACCACAAACTGCGGCACCAGCCAGAACAACAGCTCCAGCGCAATGCAGATGGCGAGATAAACCGTCAGACAGGTCCGTTCGCCATACCGCTCCGTTGCGAACCCGAGTGCGGCACGCCCGAGAGTCATGCCAGCCCAGAAGCCGGAGCCTGATATCCCCGATGCGTAGGGCGTCGCGTGGCGCACCTTGAGCATGAACGTCACGACCCAGCCTCCCAGGCCGACTAGTCACACCGATTAGTCCCAAGTAGAATCATGTTCGCCAGGTCAGCAACTTACCCTCTACCCCCATGTACAAGAAGAAAAAGGCAGCACATAACCACGTAACTTTGGACTTGGCCGCCTCTCTTGTCCCAGCACCAGATCCCTCATTGTCACTTGCATGTTCGGCCCTGTATACTGAACCGGGCTGATCCCAAAACGCAGCCGCCAAACCACCAAGCTCCAACGCGGCTGTCCCAATCTATCGCTATTAGCTTCGCCGCCTATCGCTGGCGGAATTTCATAGTCTTACCATGACATAGTAATAGCTGTACCACGGCAGGCCGGCCTTGACAACCATGCTCGTTGCAATGAGCGGTGCAAACAACGCGCCGAGCGAATAACACGAATGCAAGACACCCTGAATGGCGTTCGCCTTGTCCATGGCGCCGAGCCACGCGCAAAAGCAGGCGTCCGTGAGACCATTACCGAAGCCGCTTATCGCATTCGCCACAACGAGCGCCGGGTACGGTGGGTGCGATGCGAGAACAGCGTACGTCACGATGTGACACAGCGGCGCCATGATGCTGACGCCGCGCCGGCCCAGAGCGACGTGGATGCGCGCATTAGTAAATGCCGCGAGAGAGTAGCCTACAAAGGGGGTGAGGAAGATGAGAGATACCACGGTGTAGTTCAAGTTGTAGTAGTTTTCGAGCTACCCGCCATCAGTGTCATGTCTTGACGTCTTGGTGTGAGAAGAAACGTACATAGGGGATCAGCGCCTAGAGCTTTGTCAGTATCAGCTTTTACCACGCAATGAGGGACATGTACATACACCGACCGCGCCGTCATTCATCCCCGCAATTACAAAGGACAGGCACGCAAAGCCCAACTTGAACACATTCGACCGCGGATAGTTCCATCTCTCCACCTGGCCCTGGGCATCGGCAGGCGGTTCACTGTCGTCGCTGGTGGTTCCGCAGGTGGTTGCTACCTTTGCTTCGGCGGTAGCCCGGATAGTGTTGGTGTCTTTTAGCTGGGCATCTATGCCGCGGCCACAGGAAGTGCGAGACGAAAAGCGCGTTAGTTCAATGGCATCATAGGGAGGAGAACAGATTTGCTGCGTAGAGGTGATGGTTTGAGACATGCTGCTGTGTCGATGCCGTAATGCGATAGTGACACTGGCATGCGGCCGTTGGGTCTACGATATACATGTGCAAAGCACTTTGCAATTATGTGTCCTATCTGAGAGTGAGAATGACACCTGAAGGAGTGAAGACGAAACAAGTAGATGAAAAGTGCTGGCACGCATCGACGATAGGGATTTCGGTATGGTATCCCGCATAACCGATCGACGCCACCGATCCCGGATGTTACCCCGCAACGGCCCGGGACCAAACATCTCCATGAAGCAATGATGGTCGTGTGGGTAGACTTGTCGGATATGGATATCACCTAGAATCGAAACAAAGTGGTGTTATATCATTTAGTCGACTGTCGATCATGACGTGGAAGATCCACCTGACAGTGAGTCTGGTTGATGGCTCTTCATCTCCAAGTCCTTCATATGCACAAGTTGTGCTGCATCGTGCTCAGGATCTGTCTCACCATAGTCGATACTAAACGTTTTGTGGAAGGTGATGTGGTTTGATAGAGGCTCTCGCCTGTTTTGTGATCTTTCGACGTGCGAGACCGATGTCGTTCCCATCGGCCGGCTACCCCGTCTTGTTGGCGATTTGTATCCATTTTTTGTTCCATGTTTAGCGTAGAACCGCTGGGATGTACCGAGTATCTGAGGAAATAGTCGAACTAGGACTAAACGGAACGTTGGTAGGCAGGCACAGATGACCGCGACGTTGATCTCAACAACTGACCAAATGCCGACATTGAAATAGTCCCACGTGGGGTTGGTAGAATCGGATCCAAACTTGACCAGTGATTTGAGGCGCAAGATACTCACTATGGTAACACTGTAGACAGCCATTGTTAGCAGTGCTCTGGGGTAACATGAAGGGTAAAGGCTGAGCGTACAATGCACCAACGCCGAACATCAGGCCGACTCCAACCTTTTTCTTCCAGTCCAAGTTCAGCGCCTTTAATTGCCATAAGGGAACAGCCAGCATCCATCCATCTAAAACAATACTTATCGCGGCATTTGACCATGCCCCTGCGTTAATATTGACACATCGTCCCTCGTGTATTCCATCCCACTTCAACCAATTGTGGTCGATGGGCGTGCATTGGAATATGGCACTGAAGGTAAATGCGATGCCAAACAAGGCCACAAAGGCAACCGAACCCCAAAGCACCCGCCGAACGTGCCGGCCCGGAAAGATTCGAATGTAGAAGAATAAAATGGCCAGTTTGCTGAGTGAAAGTTCGACTATGTAGATGATCTCTAAAATATAAAAGTAACGACCAAAGTTGGTAATATTATCGTATGTCAGGGTCCAAGCATCTCTGCCTATACCGTTTGGTGCCACGTAATGCACATTCATAACCGTGGTAGGTATTCCGACCACGGTTGTAAGTAATACGAACCAATCATCAAGGCCATATTCCAGTTTTGCCCAAAACTTGTACGCAAAGCGCTGTATGACAAACATCGAGGAGATGATTGCAAACACTCTGGAAACAACAACGTATTGGCCTGACTTGTCTCGAAAAGGATCTCCACAAGATGTCGATGTCAGATTTTTCACCCCTATACCCAGAGGTCAGTTCTGAATCGTTCATATTGTGATGAGCGTGCTTGGGCCGTCATACTGATGGCTTCCTTGATTGTGCAGCTTGACATGACACAGTTTGTCAGGCCATCTTTGAAGATTTGATCGGTACACAAGCATGTTTGGTTCGTCATTAAACAGTGTGACTTGGGAAGAGATTGCCCTAGGCATGGGATCTG